ATTATTTGCTCAGCATACATGTTAAATATGTATGGTGAAAGAATACAACCTTGTCATACATCTTTCTTAATTTTAAACCATTCAGTGTTTCCATGTCCTGTTTGAACAACTGCCTCCTGGTCCAAGTACAGATTCCTCATGAGCACAATTAAGTGTTCGCCCTTAATAATCTCAAACACCTTTAAGCATCAATTTTCCAGTTGATGGTTGACTTTGGAATGTTTTCCTGGTTGGCGACTGAGGATGTTTCCATTTCATACTATGCCGTTTACTCTCAGGCTCACAGTGATGAATCCATGTCTCATCATCAGTAATGGTTTTTTGTTAAAGTAACTTTTACCTTCCTTTGAGTATCAGCCCAAGTTTTGTTTGCAGATGTCCTAATGCTTCTGTTCATGCTCTTCTGTGAGTTGTTTTGGCAGCCATCTCACACAAACTTTTTGAAACCAAGTCCGTAGTGGATTATTTCATAGGCAGAGCCATAACTGACTTGCAATGATTTGCCACATAATCTACTGTCACTTGTCTACTTGACAAACTCATCTCATGTGCATGCTCGTTGTTGTCATCAGCTGTGCACATGGACAGGCATTTTAATGTAACAGGAGTGTGGATAATTTTTGACTCATCCTCATTTATAATATCTATATGGGTAGTGCTGTGCCATGGAGTCAGTTCTGAGGCATAGTGACCCTGCATTTCCAAGGCTGTGAATCTTTATGGGAGCAGAAAGCCTCATCTTTCTTCCATGGAACAGCAGGTAGGTTCAAACTGCTCAACTTGAGGTTAACAGTCCGACTCGTAACCACTACACTATCAGAGCTCCTTATAACACATAGTTTTTGTTGTTGTTAAATGCTCTTGCGTTGGTTCCAACACATAGTGACCCTGTGTTGGGTTTTAGAGGAGCAGCTGGTGAGTTTGAATTGCTGACCTTGTGGTTCTCAGTCCAGTGCTGACCCTACAGCTGCACATCAGGAGTCCTATATTGTGATTGTTGCTGCTAAGTGCAGTCGAGTCAGTTCTGACTCACAGCGACTCTGCATAGGGTTTCAGAGGAGCAGCCAGTGGGTTTGAACTGCTAGCTTTGTAGTTCACTGTCCAGTGCTGATCCCACAGTGCCACACCAGGAGTCCATACACACATTGATATTGCTTTTGTTAAGTGAGTTGGCTACAATCCATAGCAATCTTCTATAGGTTTTCCAAGGAGCAACTGGTGAGTTTGAACCATATCTTATGGTTCAAAATGGCTTTGCCGTGCAGTGTATTCATTGAGAGCAGAATTGGCTGACTTGTTTAATCATTCTGAATATCAGTTCCCTGATGAATAAAGTAACATAGGTACAGTCCCAATCATAGATTTATCATGACTATTAAAAATTGCAGTAAATGAAAGTGCATTTGAGACGATAAAATGCAATGCATCACCTTCTGATCAATTTCTAACCTATCTAATTTATGTGTGTTAAAGTTATTTTTGTATATATTTTATCATCACAGTACATAATTCCTTATAGTATTCATTATAATAAATACTTTGAGGAAGATCACCCACATTCCACAGAGAGATTTTCGTTTTCTTTACATTAAAATACTGACTGATGAAGATCAAGAACTAGAGCCATCCACCGACGTCTCTTTTCCTTGGTATTTCAAGGCCTCTTCACTCTCCGCAAACAAGATTGTGTAATCTGCATATCACAGATTGTTAATTAATCTTTCTATAATCCTGATGTGGAGTTTTAGTGTGGCACTGCTGGTTAACGCACTGGACTGCAAGGGCAGTTTGAACCGCAAGTTTGGCAGTTCAAGCTCATCAGCTGCTCCTTGGAAACCCTATACATGGTAGCTATGAGATGAAACCAACCCGATGGCACTTAACGCCAACAGCAATAATCCCAACGTTACATTTTTTTTTTTTCATATAGTCCCTTTTCTTGTATTATATGCTCACCATACAGATTGAACAAGTATAGTGAAAGAATACAACCATGACATATACTTTTCCTGATTTTAAATCATTAAGTATTCCCTCTTCTAGTCAAGTAACTGCCTTCTGGTCTATGCATGGATTTTCCATGAGCACAATTGAGTGTGTTAGAATTCCTGTTCTTCAAATGTTATCCAGAGTTTTTTATGATCCACATAGTTGAATGTCATGTTATTCTCTGCTTTTAGACAAGACCCATCTGACATCAGCAATGATATACCTATCTCCATGTCTTCTTCTGAATCGAGCTTGAATTTCTGGCAGCTCCCTGTAGATGCAAGGCAATTGCTTTTTATATATCTTCAGTAAAATTTTACTTGAATGTGGTATTTATGATGTTGATCAACGATTTCTGAATTCTGTTGGGTCACCTTTCTTCGAAATAGGCACAAATTTGGATCTCTTTTAAATTTCTTGTCAAGTATATATTTTTTTAAATTTTGGTATATAACAAAATAAAGTTATAATCTTTAAAGACTATTAAATTAAATCATTATTGATTTTCCTTTTATTTCATTTTTCCACCTAACTGAGCCAGGAAAAAAAAGTTTGTACATGAAACTAAAATAATAATATTGCTTTATCTATATATACTTATTGTTTGTCTTTTCACTTATTCCTTGCTTAACTTCAAAATGAGTATTAGAATTAGCAAAGTATGGTGTTGTAGGATAAGCACTGGACTGCTAACTCTAAGACTGGCAGTTCAAGCCCACCAGAAGCTCCTGTGAAATCCTCTAGGGGGTTGCTATGAGTTGGAACTGACTCCAGGACACTCAACACCAACAATTCACATTTATATGAGCAGGACCACCAGTGGAGTTTAGTCAAAGGTCATGGAAACAAAAAAGAACAACTTATTGAAGTCAATGGAAGAATAAGTGCCTAATAGCGTAGTGGTTATGAATCGGGCTACAAACCGCAAGGTCAGCAGTTCGAAACTACCAGCTGTTCCGCAGGAGAAAGATGAGGCTTTCTGCTCCAGTAAATATTTACAGCCTCGGAAACCCTGTTCAGGGTCGCTATGGGTCGGAACCAACTCAACGGCACTTAACAACAACGACAACAACTATATAACTGATAAAATATTACTTTACTTATTTGTTGAACACTATTCATTTTCAAAGCTTCTACTTTAGGGCAGGATCTCTAAACCCTTGGTTAAAGATGATTTATAACTTTAAGTGAAGTCATTAATACATCTTGTAGCTCAGTATCCATGCTTGCTCATGTGAAGCACATCATCTGTTAGGTGTACATTCTGCCACAGAGGGTTCAGTCCAGAATTTAAGTGTCTTTTCCGAGGTATGGCCATACTCATACATTGATAGCCCCGGTTCTTACCAGATGGAGTAAGGAACCTCCGGAGGAAACAGGAGTGTGAGGATCAGCCCCCTCCTTCAGTAATCGAAGCACTACAAAAATGAATGAAGAAAAACAAGTTATAGCAAATCTTTATTCCAGAGTTTGAACTAAAAATTTTAGCATTGCATTCATATATAAAATGCCAAACAACCCATGAAAGCCAAAGAAAACTACAAGTTACCATGTATTAATGAATGGCTGACTAGATGCATTTCTCTTTGTATAAAACTTATTCCTTAGTTGGACATTATGATTACAGAGGAGCTCAGGTAGTGTAGTGGTTACGAGTCAGGCTGCTAACCTCAAGGTCATCAGTTCGAAACTACTAGCCATTCTATAGAAGAAAGATGAGGCTTTATGCTCCCGTAAAGATTTATAGCCTCAGAAACCCTATACAGGGTCGCTATGAGTCAGAACTGACTCCATGGCACATAACTACCATCACCACCACCATTATAGCCATACACATTATTAAGAAAGTGGAACTAAGTTTTGATTTACTGCTCCTACGGGTCTAGCATATACATCCTTCATAGACAAAGCCTCATACAAATGAAGACATCAGTCATCTCTCAGTTTGCTGACTGTGCTAGTTTGTTGGCTACCATGATGCTGGAAGCTTAACCATCAGTATTTTCAGTGTTAGCAGGATCGCACATTGTGTGTAGGTTTAAGCAGTGTTCCCAGACTAAGACAGACTAGGAGGAAGAGGTGGACTACTGCTGACTGTTCCACCACTGAAAACCTTATGAATAGCAGAGGATCCTTGCCAGATATAGTACTGGAAAATTAAAATGGGATGAATATATATCTAGGAGCTCTGGTAGAGTAGTGGTTACGAATCGGGCTGCAAACCTCAGGGTCAGCAGATCGAAACTACCAGCTGATCCGTGGGAGAAAGATGAGGCTTTCTGATCCCATAAAGATTTATGACCTCGGAAACCCTGTACAGGGTCACTATGAGTCAGAAGCGACTCCACGGCACATACCAACAACAACAACATGAATATATACAGTGCCTGAAGATGAGCCCTCAGGTTGGAAGGTGCTACACAGTGGCGGCAGCACAGGACTCAAATTCACAGCAACTGTGAGGAGGGCGCAGGACTGGGTAGTATTTCCTGCCATTGTGCATAGGGTCTTATTGAGTCTGAACCAACTCCAAGGTCCCTAACAACAACAACAACAACTGGGTTGATGTGGTAATTAGGTCGCTAGCTAAAATTTTACATTTACACTCCTCTGGAACTATTACCTAAAAACACTGACATTTACATTTTTCAAATTGAATTTGTACCCAAGACCAGGCTGTCATTCTCACAAAACACTATTAGGCAAAGTCATTTATATTTAAACCAGTAATGTCAAATGAATCAAAATCCATACCAATTATCAGAATGAATACACAGTTGGAAGGTGACCTATGTTTCCATTTGAATAGCAAAGGTGAATTCATTAGGTAATGGAACGCCACAAGGCATTAAGAGATTGATCTTGTTACCTCCTCTGCTACTTAAAGTGGGGCTATAAAACAAGCTCTGGTGGCAAGGTTCATCAATCCTGAGGCACTATGGTAGTTTCCACTATGTTAATACCAGTATCCTAGTTTTAATAAAAGTTACTGATGTGTGTTCCAATCAAAAGTATAATTAAATCAACACTTTTATTCCATTATAAAACCCAGTCATACAAATGGACACAGATTCAAACTAAAAGTTCATGAAATCGTATTGTCTCATCTACTAAATGCCTCTTTGCAACCTGAAATGTTTCTTCTCGAATGAATCTCCTTTGTTTTCTTCTTCTTTCTCTGTGGCTCCTGATTTTCTGCGTGCTCTACTATCTAGTGTCTTACCAACTTCTTCAACGCTAACTTTATACCACAGAAGAGAGGAATATCTGGATGGATAGTCAGTCCTGCCGTGTTTTCCCTGCAGGAAGGACATCCTCTTTCAGGATGGTTTGGTGGGTGTGAGAGGGAGAAAGATCTTCTAATTGTGAGCCCAGCCAGTTAGGCCCCTGCAGGTGGCCTATGAGGTAAGAGCAGTAACAACCCCACATCCAGCCAAGTGGGCCCTCTTTACCACTTGTCTTTATTCACAGCATTCCTTTGTCCAAATCTCTCTCCCCAGAGAAATCAGACACATGTTTTCTAAGCAAGAAAAATATTTAGGCTTGACTCTTTGATCTTACAAAATCGATTCTTTCCAAGACACTTCTACACAGACATTCCTGAATAGAGGCATCCCCGCATTTATTCATTTACTTATGACTTTCATTTGACAGTGATTGTTCTTCAATCAAGGAAGGATGCATGTCATTATTTTTCATAAACTGTTGCTGTTCAGTGCCATCAAATCAGTTCTAACTCATAGTGATTCCATATGGGATATCCAAGGAACGACTGGTGGGTTTGAACAGCCAAACTTGTAGTTAGCAATCCAGTGCTTATCCTATAGTGCCAACTAGCTTCTGCTAATGTTTGGGCTCTTCGTAACAAAACTGAGTATCAGATGTAGCAGCCTTGCAAGATGAACTGCAACCTGACAACATGCTATGTGTACATTTACTAGTCTAATTACATCTTTCTCTCCTTTTAGGAAAAAAAACAAAAAAATCTTTCAGCTTAGAGACCTTCTCTTACTGTTCTTCTCTGTATTTCTAGGAAACCAGTCTGTTGTGTGGTTTGTAGATGTTTCTCTCTCTTTCTATATATCTAACTATATTTCTATCTATCTATCATCTGAAGTTCTGGTGTAGAATTGCCGATAAGTACTTGAAGGCAAAGTCTTTGAACCACAAGGTTCAAATTCACCAGTCACTCCTCAGATAAAGTGTCGCTATGAGTTGGAGCCTACTCAAAGGCACTTAAAAACAACTATCAATAAATCAATGTATCTATCTATCAATCATCCATCCATGTAGCTATATATCTATCATCTAATATCTATTACGTATCTTCCCATCAGAAATGTATGCATTTGTTGATTCCTCACTTATTTTCCACCCTTAATATTTAATGTCTATCAAACTAACAATATGTTTGCCAATGGATTACTCAAAAGATAAGCAATTACCATTCGTTTATTTATTCATTTAACAAATGAAATGATTCGCCTTGAATTCACTAATAGCTACATAGTGCTTTACAGTGTGCAAATCATTTGCAAAACTGTGATCTCAATAAAATTATACAAATCTAGTGTGAGTTAGATTGTATTATATTCATTTGCTGTTGTTGTTGTTAAGTGCTGCTGAGTATTAGTAAAATGCCATCAGATGTTTAAGTTGAATTCAGTATGCGTAGTGAAGCATACTATGAAACAGTAATCCATTGGTTTTGGAGCTGAAACCTGGCTCCACCAATTGTCACATATGTAATTGGGAAAGCTTCTAAATCTCACTGTGTTTCAGTTTTTGTTGGTAACATAACCAATAGTGAATCTCACCTGAGTGAGATCTCACCTGAGTAGTACACCTGGTAACATAACCAATAGTGAATTTTACCTGAGTGTACTACTGTGAGAATTCAATGCGGTAACATGTACAACAGCTTACCATGCTCCCTGGCACTTCATAAGTATCCCTGTATTTTACCACAGTAAAATTGTTATATGCAATGAAAACACATGTTGTTGTTAAGTGCCATTCTGTCAATTCCAACTCTGTGACCCTATGGCGGTTTTCCAAAGATCAACTAGTGGTTTTGAACCACAGACCTTATGTTTATTCTATACCACACTAGGACTGCATGATAATGTGTCAAAACACATGATAACTCTAAATGTTATTTTTTAAAATTCATGGTTTTTTAGTCATAGAACCCATATTTTAAGTATTACTCCAAAATTTTCAAAACTCTGTCAACTATTGAATTTAAATTTAGAATACAAGCAAAGCAATTTTAGTGATATCTATTTGAAGGATTAGTGTACAATCAACTAAACCAGAAAAGGAGGAATGGTGCTCTGGGTGAAAAATGAACAAAGACAAAAACTATGAGTATGGATAATGTGAAAACTCTCTTATGACTAGAGAATTATGTTGGAAGAACATTGTGGAGGATGTTTTATATTATATACTAAAGAATTTGAGCATTACATTGTGGGCAATAAGGAGGTTTTACACTAGACTGCAAAGTAGGTTTGAACTTCAAGGTTGGTGGTTCAAGCTCGCCAGGGTTGCTATGGGTCGGAACCACCAACTCAGCAGCACTTAATAACAGCAACAAACACAGTATGGTGCTGTAGGATATGCACTGTACCTACCACAAGTTCTGTTTTACATGCACAGTTGGCTATTCAAATCCACTAACTGCTCCTCAGAAACCCTATACAGGGTCGCTAGGATTCAGAATGGACTAGAAGGCACTTAACTTAAGCAGGTGAGTAGAATGGTAATTCAGGGAGGGAAAGCTTCATTAGGTAAGACAACACAAAGACCAACTCCCCACTCACCTTAAATTTTGACTAGAGATTGAGGCTCAGGCCAGAAAAGACCAGAATAATGAGGCCCAAGGTCCTGCTGGGGAGGATACAGATAGGAAAGGACTGCTTGCCCTGGGGTATGATGGGAATCACAGTCAGACCTGGCATGGCAGAGAGCCTCGGGAAGCCTTGGTCACAAGCTACTAGAAAGCAGCTCACAAGGCAGATAGATATATAGATATAGATAGACAGATGATAGATAGTTGATAGATAGATAGATAGATAGATAGATAGATAGATAGATA